AGCTGCTTAGCAGTATGTATCAAAAACCTCAAATATGTGCACACCTCTTAGTGAGGATATTCACCCAAATCTTAAAGAATTAAAGATGTGGGGGCTCCTGGGTGGCTCAGTTGGTTAAGCAACTGCCTTCAGCTTAGGTCATGATCTCAGGGTCCTGGGATCAAGCCCCACATCAGGCTCCCTGCTCGGCAGGAAGCCTGTTTCTCCCTCTCCCTCTGCCCCTCCTCCCTGCTTGTGCTCTCTCTTAAATGAATAAAATCTTAATAAAAATTAAAATGTGCATAAAGACATGACTACAAAGATGCCTGTGATAAGAATATTGCATTACTTATCATAAAAAAATTAACATGTATTACTGCAGTTCCTTCATCCACATATCCATCAGTAAATATACACAAAAATATTTATTGTCATCTATAGATTTCAGAATATAATTTTAAAAAACACATTATCAAACAATATATTCAATATTATTTTATCTTTCAGAAATATACAAAACAGATAATGTGGAAATTACACACTAAAGTGTTAAAAGTGGTTTTCTTCATGGGAGGTGAAATAAGATGATGTTGCTTTTACTTTTCTTCTCTTTTCTTAATCTGTATTTTCTAATTTTTCCATAATAAAGGAAAAAGTTACTTTTGAAAAGAAATAGTTGATAGTATGTACCCTTAATATGATGTGATAAAAATGGCACCTCATCTCTCTGGTCTTCCTCCACAAAACCCATGAGAAAAATATAATCATAAAAGAAACATCAAATTCCAAGAGGGGCTTCCTACAAAATAGTTGACCAGTACTTCTCAAACTGTCAAGGTCATCAAAAACAAGGAAAATTAAGAGGAACCTAAGGAATCATGATTCCTAAATGTGATGTGGTATCCTGGATGTAATCCTGGAACAGAAAAAGGACATCAGGCAAAAACTAGGACATCTAAATAAACTATGGACATCAGTTAATAATAATGGGTCAATATTAGTTCATTAATTGTAACAAAGATTCCAGGCTGGTGTTAAGATGTTAATAGAGGAAAATGGGTGCAGAGTACAGGGAAATTCTTTGCACTAATTTTTCTGGTAATCTAAAACTGTTCTAAAAAACTAAAAGGTAGTTCTAAAAAGAGAAATAAATAATAGTATCTTGAGTTTAATTTTTACTGTTCTTCAGTTTCAGAACACACACACACGTACAGAGAGACAGAGGGAAAAGGAGAATGAATATTAGGGTTTTTTAAACATATTATAAAAGGAGTTCCTTACAATACACTACATATTTATCAATACACACAACATCTGTATAAGTAATAGATATGGTGTAAATATGTCTGTACAGATCTCACCTACTTAAACCACTCCTATTTACACAGAAATAGAAATACAAGATAAAAAATATAATTCACAGAAATAGAATTATATAAGAAGTATAAAATATATTACATTGCATCTTCATGTGCTGTAAGATGTGGCGAACCTTTAGCAGAAGGCTTATTTTGCTCGGTTAACAAATTAGGCATCCCTAATTTCTTTTCTTACTGAATGCTGACCACTAAAATAGCACATCATGTACTCCTAGAGGGAGCCAAGTCAGAGAGCAGAGAAAGTGCTTGCTAAAATAATTTTCTCTTCTTTCCCAAAAGGGAAAAAGTCAGCAGTGGTGACCAGTCCTGCTGAGCCCCATGGAAGTCAGTTCCCCTAAGTCCAAATAAACTGTAGTCCCTTATGAAGCCTGCTGAGAAGACCAAAGGGAAAAGGCATTCCACTTGTTAAATGTTTATTATTTGAACTTCGCAGCCAACTATAATAAGGGAGAGGGAAGCTGTCTGCAAGCTGCATGCAGATTTAGCTACTCAAATTCCATGAATGTGAAATAGAACACTGAGTCTAAACCCTTAAAATTTACTAAGCAGTAGCTTGAGGGAGGTGGCAGTTGAGAATAAAAGCTTGGAGCCGCTAATATTTGGGTCAGTGATTTGAAAGCAGCTCAAGTCAACAAAGAACTAAAATTCTCGACACTGGGAAAACTGTGGCTTCCTCTTGTTCTAAGAATCACAATCCAGCAGAGAAAAGGTACAAATCTCTTCTCTCCTATATCTCCTCTCACTTTGATCTACGAATAAATATTTTTACTTTTTCCTCAAAGCCGAATTCTTATCTATTAAACTGCTGGTGGGTGGGACCACTACAAGCTAAACCTTTTTTCACTAATCCTGTGATTCACAGGATGTCTTCTAGCTGAATCTCAATGACCACTCACTCTGTCCTTATTCTCCACCTTCCCAGCTGAATGTGGCGGAATCCTTTTACCATGACAGTGATGTGATGTCTCAGGTTGGATATATCCACAGGAATGTGCTTTATATTACTGTAGGATTTTGGCTATGAGTACTAATTAAATTTAAAGGGCAGAAGCAGAATACATTTTAGTAGATATCATGATGAAGTCTACTTGAAAAAATAAAACATATATTATTTTTACATAACATATGTATGTATTATTTTCCAAATTCCCAGGCTAATTATAGCTCAAATTAAAGTAATAACAAACTGGAGAAAAATCTTTTTTGAGATGAACTGAATCTTTAACCCTCTAAAATACAAGACATAAGGAAGAATGAAGTTGAAAGTAAAAAGGTTTGATTGTCATGTAAATACGAACCAACAGATTTACAGTAAAGTTTTGGGCTCAAGGACTGGTTCTGCTGCTAATGGTCTGTCTTCTTGGGCAAAAAAGTTCAGCCCTTTGAGCTCCAGTTTTCCCAACCCTAAAATGAAGATATAGATCTGATGTTTCCTCAAGGTTAAGATGAGGATCAAAAATCTTTTACAAAGTATATGTTGAATTAAAAGAGAATTAATATGAAAACTGGATCAATGGTGTATTTTAACCAATCATGTACTAGATGATAATAGGAATAACTATCAACAATTAAATGTCTAATATGTGTGGGGCGCCTGGGTGGCTCAGTCAGTTAGGCGTCCAACTCTTGATTTTGGCTCGTCACGATCTCAGGGTCCTGGGATCCAGCCTTGTTGGTCTCCATGCTCAGCTGGGAGTCTGCTTGAGAGCCTCTCTCTCTCTCTCCCCCTCCCCACTTGTGCACTAATAATTTTTTTAAAAATTAAAAATAAACACCTAATACGTGCAAGAACATATTATATGAGGTCCTTTATATTTTAATCCTCATTTTAACCCCCAAGGGACATCTATAATCTACTTAATAGAAAAAACCTGATGAGAAAACAGGCTCAGAAAAGCCAAGAAACTTGCCCAGGATCACAAAGCTAGTGATAAATGGCAAAACTACAAATCAAAACAAAATCTGGGTCTAAACACCATGCTCTTTCCACTAGCCATTTAGAACTAATCTAGCATGAACAGGAAACAAGGCATTCACAGCAGTAAATTTTCCAGATAACTACATTTTAACTTCAAAATTTTATGTAAATCTGTCTAAAAAATATAATGTATACATCCTTTTTTGCTTTTATTAACTAACCAAAGATGAAGGCTTTCCTCAAAACTCAGGATCATGACTGTAGGCATTTTGAGGTAGATCACAGCTGTAGTTCCTGTAGTTTTCTCCTCGCTAAGGCCGAGCTAGCTGACTGAAACACTGGTATTACCTCTTCTAGCCCTCTGCCCCAGCTACTCTGCAGTCAGGAACTCAGAGAACTCACGGGATACAAACAAATCTAAGTCAATAAGGCCCTGGGATAAAAGCCTGAGGGTGGCTCCCGCTAAATACACCGTATATGCTAGTTGTGCTGTTTGCATCCTAGCTTCCTTGTGGATTGCAGCTGTAATCTGTCAAGATGAGAGTCCCTAAAGATTGACCCTCCAGATAAATGGAGCCTTACTAAACTGAATTAACACCTTGTTTCACAGGAGTACCCCATCACTTGAGATTTCAATTTTCTGAATGTCATCTTACTGTTTTGAAAATGGAATCACAGGATTAAAATACTTAACTTCTAAAACTTATTGTAGAGCAAACCCTTCAGGAGATTCATACACTTGTATTTAGTTGCATGATACCTGAAACACAACAGGTGATAAACACTTTCCTGGAACAATAACGATGGTAAACTCAGTCTGAAACTAGAGACTGGCCCATGGGGGTCTGGCATTTGAATGCATTCAAGAAAGTCTCTCCTTGGCCTAAATGCAGTCTCTGCCAAACACCCATCTTTCGTCCTTCTCCTACACCAGCAGAAGGAATGACTGGATAAATGCCTCTTTGTTCGTCAAGGATAACGTGTAGCACACAGCACGTAGCTGCTCACAAGTATGTCTCCCTCTCCCTGCCCAGGCAAATGTAAACACCCTGCTGGAAGGGAGAGCTTTATCCTCATCTTTTGTACTCTACTCCCAGAGCCTTGCATAGCTCCTTCCAGACCGCAAGTGCCTCAAGAATGTACATCCCATCCTTCATTCACCTTTTAAGTGTTTAATGGTACCAAAATGTGTTCCCTCTTCTACCACCCCACTCCCTCCCCCATCAGTCCCTACAAGGGATGATAAGGCCCTCCCTTTTCATGAGATTGCTAAAGTATCTGTGTTAAACAGTGGTATAAAAGACAGAATCCCCATTTTAAAAGTAAGGTCACAGGAAAGATCCTAGGGGATATTAATGTTTATTTTCTCACATGCCATTGATAAATGACATGTACCTGCCTTCAACACACAGTATGAATAAAGATAATATGTCCTTGCCTTAATAATAAAAGATACATAACCTCAGTCATAGAATTTACTCTGTATATTTTAACTTTACTTCAACTTCATCATTTTTACCTTATTGAACCTGAAGTACCTATTGGTACTGAAGACAGTACAATATCAATAGTTGAGGTTTCTGTTCATTCTGATTTCAGACATTTATACTTCATTAGAAATAACTAAAGCCTTCTGTCCCACCTAGTCATGTCATGCCTGGTGCCACTCAATTACATGTATCATCAGTACTATTAATGTCTATAGTAAACGATTTTCTTAATACCTCTTCACTTTGGATTTTTTCCAGTTGACTTTTTTAATACCCAAATCCACATATGATTCAGTGAGTTCTATATTTAATTCTCCTTCTGAGTCACTTGGAAGTATTCCTAGTTTTGCAGCAGATTCATAGAGAGAAATTTCATCTTTTAGTTCTGTTAATTCTTCCTAAAACACAAAATTATTGAAAATTATTTTCTTATATGAAAGAATCAGTCATTCATTTATGCTTCAAAATTCATTTTAATGATCAGAAATGCTTCTTCACATACATTAAAAATAACTAAAATAATGCTATGAACATGGGTGTACAATATATATTAATAACTTTATATATATGTATATATAACTTCAGAAAGGCCAGCACATATCAGTTTTCAAGTAAACTGAACGAACAAATGAATAAATGAACGAGAAAGCAAATGTAAGGAGCTTCTTTCACACCTCCCTCGCTTACATTTTGTCCTCCACAAAAAGTGTCCCTTGAGCTGAGAAACTGACAGCAGCACTTTTTGGCTTTCTAGAGGACAGAGTGGACTTCGGTTTGCCAAGAACGTGTTGTACTTTAGTCTGCCGGTGGGAAAAGGCAAAATATGTCTTTCCAGCAGAGGTAATACTGGAACTCTTCCTGCAGTGGAAAATGTAAGTAGCGCTGGGGGAGGATGTGAGAGAGTCGCAGTGAAACTGCAGGTCTCCCACACCTGTAGATATACTTATCTCCAGGATACACCCAGAAATGAAAGGACACGCCATGGGAAGGAGGCGACAGGCAGACTGATGGGGCCGGGGCGGGGGAGGGGGAGGCGGCGCCTGGCTCTGCAGTCAAGACAGACCTGGGCTTGACTACCTAACTGTGTGGGTGAGACTGTGAACAACTCTCAGCGCCTGGTCTGGAGATGGTCCAACTACCTCTTTTATAAAGAAATCCAAGGTTCAGAAAAGTGATGTAAGCACTGCCTAATTCAGTTACCCACAGAGTCTCCTCCAAGTGGCAACACTCACTTGCAAAGCCTTGTTCATGTTTTCACTCATAGCATGTGCTTTTTGTGCTTGCTGCAGCTGGAACCGTAGCTGAGCCACCTCCTGTACGGAGCCTATGGGGAAAAAAGTCATAGAGTACACCAAAAGTAAAGGGACAAAGTACCCACGATGTACAGAAGAACACTGAGGTTACAGAAGGTGGAGTTTTGCTTTATTACCTTTTCATTACCTTTCTAGGAGCACAAAGGTGTAGCCAGTGGGACCCAGAAGGCAGAGGTCCAGACACTTCCAAAACGTGTCTACACATTTAGTATGGCTCATCATATGTCCTTGGGAAGTTGAAGACTTGGGACTACTGTGACCTTGCTATGAATCAAATCAGCCACGTCTACAGACCTTAATACTCCACGAGTCCTTTAATAGGAGCATAACGTTCCAACTCACAGAAAGCCAAAGCAAAAATTCTTTGGAAACCATTTCTACCCTCTAATAAGAAAACTACATCTTGCTGCCTTTAGCTGCTTTCGAAATGCTTTTATTTCCACCACCCCCACCTCCACATGTGAAAAAAGCATATTCGGGCCATGCTTCGGAAACTTCGGTAACCTAATGTTTTAAATGTACTACGGGAGGCTCCCTTAAAAGGGACTTTATTGGGCCTCCTCAAAAGAAAATGAGCATCTGGGAAATGGTTAAGCAAAGTAATGACGGCATATTATGCAACTAAAGAAAATCGTATTTTCAAAGCCTTTAGTGGCAAGAAAAAAGGCTCACTAAATAATACCATGTGAAACAAGGATACAAAAATGAACGGGGGGTGGGGGGGTCCAAACAGGGTATGAGCCAATTTTGCCCCCACCAAAACCTACACACACACATATTTGACAGTCTCTGACTTTAGTACTTTCAACTTCTGAGTAAGCTACTCTGATACACATTGTACCAACAGTCTGAATTGGCTTTACATGCCAAGTGTGACTTTCATATGTCAGGTCATGAATAACCACTGAGCTATTTTCACAGCAGGAGCTACTCACCAGTACATAGGGCAGTTTTGTTGGTAGGATAGTTTGCATAAACATGCGATTATTTTATTGCCTTTTACTCTAATGTCATTCTATAAAAATGAATTAGAAATAAAAGTACTGCTGAAACTAATGACAAACAGTGTATGTCTCAAACTTAATACCATGGAAACCATATGAGAAATCTTAAGCATGACAAAAATATAACTCCCTAGCTTCAACTGACCAGGTAAGTGTGAGAGGAAAAAAAAAAATTAAAGAAAGAAGTTTCACAAAATGACAGAAATACATGATCAGACTGATTCTAAAAAGCAAAATATAATGGGATTTCATAATCATTTTTACTTCCCAAGGATAAAACCTACCTTCTAACATATATTTTATTGTTTAATTTTTCTATATTCAGCTTTGGTATGTTTTCAAAAATGCACTATGTGCAGAAGCAGGGAATTACCTATGTGTATGTGTTCAATTTCACTTGAAGGCAATACATTAAAAACATTAGCAACAGTTATCTCTGTGTAGTAGGATGATTGGTTATTTGTATTTGCTACTTTGTACTTGTCTGTGTTCTCTAAATTATCTAGTGAAAATGCAGTATACCTTTATACATATATAATAACAATGCTAAAAAAATTGTCACTGACGATCTTTTCTGCCTTTGCTGGATTTTTATAACTCATGGATCCTACTATGTTTGCTCTGCACATTATACTAGCCTCCCGGGGAGACAAGAGTCCATCCCGGACACCCACCTGAGTGCAAGAAGTTGGCACACTGCTTCTGACTCTCTTCTAGACTTCTCGTCAATCTGTTAATGATCTCAGTCTTTTCTAATTTGGTTGCTTCTTGATTCCTTTCCAGTTCTTTCACTTGATCTTTCAAATGACAACAAATATCTTCCTAAGTAGAAAAAGTATTCAAGAAGTCATTGTCATGATCACTTATTAAATACTGAACTAACAAATATAATACATAATTGGATTTTAGGTCAAACATAAAATCATCACAGAGCAGCGTCACCTCTTTTACAAGGTTAAGTGCACAGGACTGGGAGTTAGAACAAACTTTTATGATCTTGGGTGAGTCATCAACTTCTCCATCTGTTTTTTCTTTTGTAATTATGCTAATAAAGGTTAAATTCAGTGATTTCTAAAGTCCTTTCTGTTCTACAATCACAAGACACTGATATTCTAAAATTAGATTCTATTCAAGCCAAAGAAAATGTATTACACTTCTATTTGCATGTTACACTATCAGTATAAGTGTATGTATATATATTTAGGCAGACCACTTTGAACCATGGAATCTGTATCCCAAGACAGCAAGGATTCAGATAAATACATGGAAACTCGCTCTATTCTGAAGAGCCAAAAGCTCATTCTACTTTGGCAGCCAAAAATAATCTCACTCTCTTCTGAACTTCTTTTATACTTAATCTGTTTCTCTGTTTTTCTTTCTACCTTTTACATGTCTTATTTTTCTTAATAAAGTCTCCTTGAAGGTACCTATGCAGTGCCTTACACACAGTGAGTGCTACAAAAACAAAGGAACAAACAACCTTTAAAAATAAATTACAAAGAAAACCAGACAGGATAAATGTGTGTATGTGTGTGCACACATTCGTGTAACTGTAAGGAAATATATAGAAAAATATGGAGCATGTATACAATATATTAAAATTTCTTCAAAAAGAAAAAGGTGTTTGGGAGTAATAAGCCATGGAAGTCCCAAGACTAGGCAGAAGAAATCATCACTTCTCATTTAAAAAAGACTACACAGGCTGAATTCCACACTAAAAGCAGAGAATGAGACAGGCAGGAGTAAGTTAATTGGCCAAAGTTACCTGAAAAGGCCTGAAGAAAATAAGTGGTAAAAAGAAAAGGGCTTTGAAGCAAAGAAAAGGCATCTGGGGCCTGATCCATTGGATAACCTAAAGCCCAAAAATGCCTTAAGGATAGTAACACAAGGTACACCTTATAAGGATACTGACAGCATCATTAAGCGGAGGAAAGACTCTGAAGTCTCCTATTTTAGTTAAAAAATTCATGTGAATTTTGCATTCTCTTTCGTAATGTAGTCATGTCTGCTTTAAATTTTTTCTACCAAATTTCTGAGCAAAATGAAGCTTCTGGAAACTGCTCCATGTTTATTCAACAGTGCAAACCTCTTGGCACACTGCTGCTGATTCCCAGGCCAGCTTGAAAAGCATGGTTCTAAAGCGCCAAAATAACATGGCAAACACAATGAATGGGCTAACATTAATGACAGTGTGAATGTGTGTGTGAGAAGGGGTGGGGAGACAACATTTATGGGCCGGGGAGGCCGTAATAACTTTTATGAGAGACTGAGAACTGGCAAAAAGAAAGTTCAAGAAAAGGTAGATTTGAAAAACATAAAGAGAAGGCTGACTGTGGCAATACTGCAACAATCGACTGAACCACATTGTTTCCTGTTGACAAGTTCAGGGAAACCAATTATACTCAAAAACTGCTCAGTTTCAATACCAAGAAACAAAATGAGTGGTTCCTTCTTTTCTATGGGTAGCTTGAGTGAGAACATTCAACTCAAGATGGTTAAAGGCAGACAGCTTTAAGACTGAACAAGTGTGGTGACAGAGATAATAGCCAAATCTATGGGAGCAAATAGAATTGAACAGATTTCTAGTGCACAGAGACATGAGGATTAGACCACACAGAGGTCTGTGGGAATCTCTAAGCCAAGAGAAGGTGTTTCAAGTGGAGCCTTTAAATATAACGTTAAAGGAAAGTTGGAAAGTAGACCAGGCAAAAGTCATGACATAGAAACCAAAGTCCACAACTTCACCCGAAGCTGCAGATTTCAAGACCAGAACGAAGAAAGATTTTATACCATCAAGGAGATAATCAGAGATCTTAACCTGACATTCAGAGACCTCAGAAAATGACACTTCCATGAATGGGAGACAGAAGACAGGAGGGAGAGTCCAGGAGATGGTTTGCTATTAGAGAGTTCTGTCACTGAAGGAACACGGAGCTCCCAAGAAGCTTTGGCTGAGTATCATAATAATGATTAGTTTACAATTGTAGTCCTTTCCCACCAAAAACTAGTTTTTCATAAAGCAGTGATTTTTAACCTTTTGCAAGGGGAGACATGAACCTCTTGGAAAATCTGAATAAGTTTGTGGGTCTTCTCAAAAAAACCACATTTATTGACACCCAAAAGAAAATCATACCCACAATTTGAGAGGATCCATCAAAGCCCTGGCGTCTAGTCATAAAGTGTCTTAGGGGATGCCAGGTTTAAAAGTCTGTGTAACTAGCACAACGTGTGAACATCGGCTCTGTTAACACTGTAGTGTAAACTCTGTTAACACTATAGCACATAGGGACACAGCTGTATGTAACTATGTGAGAGCTGCTCAGAACCTAGAAATTGGCAAACTTATTCATCTACTAAATTATCCAGTTATTTGTACCTTGCTACTATCTTCCAAGAATTGTTTTATTTGTCTTAGTAATGTGCTAAATGGAACATAGGAAAAGATTTATCTGAAAGGGAAATATTTAATATACCTCTTCAATAATTTTATAAAGAAAAAGAGGGCAAGGGGCAAAATGCAGAATGTATGTATGGTTATCAGCTACTCTAAGAAATCAAGCCCCTCTGTATAGAACACTCATAGATTTTTCTGATTATAGGCAGGCAACTCTACCTAGCTCCTGGTTGATCTTTACAGCAACTTTCTAGTCAGGAATCTCAATTTGGATTCTAAGATAATATGGATTGTCTTTCTATTAAAAATACTGCTGAGCCAACTGATCCCAAATTGACAGCACAAAAGAAATACTCTAAGAAACATTCCCAAAAGGAAAAACTATAAACACTTTGGAATCATCACTTTGCAAAGCAGCTATGCAATTATATCCAGAGACTAACATCAGTGTACGGTCTGTTTAAAAAAAATAAAATAAAATCAGTCACAGAGTGTAACAGTGGAAAAGACCTTAATCAACAACTTCAATTTGTGGTTCAGGGGTCTGAAGCCCAGTCAGCACAGAATCAAGACTTTGTTCTGTGTTCTAGTCCAGTGTCTTTCTATTGAAGCAGGTGGGGTGGGGGGTAGTGGTGAAAACAGAGAATGGAGTGGACACAGGGGTTGAACACAGCAAGAATTTCTTCCAGCCCTCCCCTGTGTAACATGTCAAAGTCAGCAGAGAATGGAGAGATCCTCAACCCTGCAAGGAAAAGCCACCAGATTCCACCCCTCTAGTCATCCAAGAAGGACCACTGTCCAAGTCCAACTAACTTTAATGCTACTACATAAACACAGCCAAAATAAATAAAATTATATCTCAAATGCCATTTGTTTAAATACTAAAGATTTTTTCAATAATTTGGCATAGCCTTTGTCTTTCCCCAGATAGCCTCCACACCAAACTCAATATTTTTCTATACAAAAAAAAGTATATTTAGGAAAATAAATCTAATAAAAACTCATATAAACACATATAAAAATAACATGGTATACAATTATTACTGGCAATAATGCAGTACTTATGTACATAATCTTATGTACTTCTACCTAACACATGGAAAAATTTAGTCAGTCATATAAATAAAAAATAACAACCCAAATCAGGATGAATTTTAAGGGTGGTGGGATTGGCCGTACCCTCCCATCTTACTTTTCAGCTCTTTTCCCTTGGGTTAAATTAATTCTGAAATTACAAGAAGAAAAGTGCACTCTGAAATTTTATTCCTTCAAGTGATTACCTGGGGTTTGGGACACAAGCAAACCCACCACCTGAGTCACCCTCATCTTACACTTTATTCCCTTTGGGGCAAAAATAATACAGACTGTGAGAGATGCTCAAGTTTCACATCTCAGTGATTTTAGACCAGACTTTCCTCCTTATGTTATTACATTATTCTCAAAAATTAACTCTTCTCCCAAGAACCACTTCTAGACAATATTTACTGACAGGTAAATTGCCCAAGAAAGGCTTTCTACTGGTTAAGCTACCAGGACAACCTCTCAAGTTCAGACCAGCTCCCAGAACACTCACTCTTTTCAGTATGGATTTACTCTAGGGCAACAAGAACAGTATGTATAAATACTCTACAAATAAAGGACTAGTATTGTGAGAATTGAGAAAGCACTAACCAATTATAAGAGAAAGAATTTCCAAAATTAAGCCTTCAGGACATCTTCACAGATTAAAAATCATTGGCTTTTAAGTTTTACTCATAAACACCTACTGCAAGCATGCTGAACCACAAAATATCAGTTACAAAAAATAACCAGCCTTACTCGTTTAGAACAGTTGCTCATGTGAAATCATCCTAACCTGTTCCTTAAGCGCAGTAACTGTAGCATCCAATTTCCTTTGTAAGGACAACACTTGCTCTTCATGCTTCTTCGTGAGGCCCATCACAATGCTCTCATGCTGCTCTCTAGCACGCTGAAGTGATTCTGAATGACGGAGGTCCAGCAGCTGCTGCTTCAGGCTCTCCAGAGCCATTTCAGTTGTCCTGGACTTCTTAATCATCTAGTGGATAAACACAGGATAGCCAAGTTTACGGTATTTTGACTCTGTGCTCTCTTTATGGACTGTAACGCTAAAAATCAACCATCCTTTAAGAAGAATATAGACAAGGAAAGGGTCTCCCTACAGTGGCTTTAGTTTCTTAAGACTTCTCTAGCTGGGACCCATCAGGCCCATGGTTGCTGGAAACATCCACTGAGAAAAAGACTCTGTAGTTACCTGAGGAGAGTGATGGAGGATTTTGCTCAGCATGACAGTGATGTGGGTACCAGACAAGGAATCTGCTGCTACAACAGTGGTCCCAGTGCTGTTGGCATTGCTCTGTGAGCCAAGTGTGGGGGCCAATCCAATTGCTGGGTCACAGAAAAATGACAACTGTTTCTTGACAGACTGATAAAAACTGTCAACGATCACTTGTTAACAACAAAGTTTTGAAAACTGTACCTATATAGTTGTTGAATAATAATGGTGTACTAGGCTAAATAATGGTTCCCAAAAGAGGTCCATGTCCTAATCCCTAAACCCTGTGAATATGTTATGTTACATGGCAAGGGAAAAAGTAGGGCTGTAGACCAAATTAAAACTGCTAATCAGATGACCTTAAAATAAAAACAATTATCCTGGATTATCTGAGTGGGCCCAATATATCCAGAAAGGTCCTTAAATGAGGAAAATTGAGGCAGGAAAGTCAGAACCAGTGACTTCTGGCTCTGAAGATGAAAATGGGCCACAAACTAAGGAATGCCGCTGGCCTCCAGGAGCTGGAAAAGGCAAGAAAATGGATCCTCCCCTAGAGCCTCCAAAAAGCAACACAGCCCTGTTGACACCTTGATTTTTACCCAGTGAGACCCATGTCAGACTTCTACGCATTGTTTCAAGCCATTAAATTTATGCCAATGATAGAAAATCAGTACACTAGGTGATTCTGTTGTTGCTTTTATTTGTTTTCATTATGCCTTATTTTTTATACATGCAACGTCTAACTTATAAAAAGATCTAAAAGTTGTAACATTTTACTACATAAAAGCAATTCAACTTTTTATAAGAACTATCAATTTTCAAAAAGTTAAAAATGCTCATAGTCTCTTACACACAAAAATTAAAATTTCAAATGAGGCTTATTTTTCATTTCTATTCCGGAGATTGACTATTCGAATACTGTTTAAAGTGCTTATGACATTTATTCATTTGCTCAATAATGTGAATACTTTAGGCAGAACTTAGGCAGGGTTCTAAGCACTTAAGGACATGATGACAAGACAGGCAAGGTCCAAACTCTTATTATTTTCTAGTGAGAAGAGATAAACAATAACAAGTAAACAAATGAGATCATTTCAGATAGTTTTAAAATAGAGTAAAAGCCTATGGCATGATGAAGGAGAGTAGGAATATGGAGCTATGGGCTACTCTAGATATAAGGCAGCTTGTTTTAGCTGACACCTGAAGGATAAGGAACCAGATATGAAACAGCATTGTTTAAATTCTTTCATGAAACCATCCTTAGAACTAGCCACACGTCTCACCCAAAACCAAACTCAGATTTTATAGTCACTTTCAATTTTTTTTTATTATGTTGTGTTAATCACCATACATTACATCATTAGTTTTTGATGTAGTGTTCCATGATTCATTGTTTGCGTATAACACCCAGTGCTCCATCCAATACATACCCTCTTTAATACCTTTCACCAGGCTTGTCACTTTCAGTTTTAACCACCCTCTTTCCCCACCTCCAAAATGGTATCACTCTCATGAGTCACCCCCCACCAAGCTTGGCTACCAATGACTTGTGACCATTTCCAACCATTAAATGGCTATCTATCTCATTAATCAAAGAATGTGCCACCACTTTTGTCTTTTTTTTTAAGATTTTAAGTAACCTCTACACGCAACGTGGGGCTCAAACCCACAACCCCCAGATCAAGAGTCACACGTTCCACCAACTGAGCCAGCCAGGCTTCCCTGTGCCACCACTTTAAAGGCAAGTCTATTGGGGTCAGGAAATTTAGGTGCTGCTGTTTTGTCAATAACTGGCTTTGTAACCTTGGGCAAGTAATTTTGACCTCTCCAAAACTTGATTAACTCATCGATAAAATGGTAAACACAATGCCTCATGCCTCACCAATCAAACTCTCAACAAGATTTTTTACAAACATAAAAAGTTGATATGCAAAATCTAGAAAAGAAAATGTGAGAAAGAGCTACAATTTTTTTTAAGAATACTAACTGTAGCCCTTGTTTACCACATTTCAAAACACACCATAAAACTATAGTCATGATAGTATCAGAGTGGAAAAGAGAAATATGTAAGACAAAATATGTACAGGTTACATCAGTTTTCACCAACAACATTCACTCAACATATACTGACCATCTATTATTATGTGCTGGAAGGCAGGGAAGACTTAGGAAAAGGAAACCCATGAGCAGGGGGTGTTAACCAATTAGAGTGTGCTGCGGGAAGGACCTTCCAGTGAGAAGAGACGGTGTATACAAGTACATAAAAATAACACACACACTACTGAGTTTGAGGAAAATAAGGGAAGAGGTAGGCAAGGATCACATGGCCATTTCCATGCCACACTTCATCCCACAAGTAAAGTGGGGTCAGGCCTTAAGCAAGGGAAAAACAATCAGTATTTTAGAAAGATTGGCCATAAGAGAGAATTTGGAGAAGTAGTCAAAGACTAGAGACTAGTTAAGACACTTGTACAACAAACGGTAAAATCCCGAATCAGGGACATGTGGACAGAAATGCGGAGACTCAACAGAAGGTAGGAGCTGACTGGATGAAAGGGAAGAGACGAGCTGAGGTCTCCTGCAGACTTTTATCTGGTGCGCAGGTGCCTGGGCTGATGTCAGCACCATCCCTCCAAAGTAAGGGAATATCAGTTACAAAAAATAACCAGCCTTACTCGTTTAGAACAGTTGCTCATGTGAAATCATCCTAACCTGTTCCTTAAGCGCAGTAACTGTAGCATCCAATTTCCTTTGTAAGGACAACACTTGGTCTTCATGCTTCTTCGTTAGGCCCATCACAATGCTCTCATGCTGCTCTCTAGCACGCTGAAGTGATTCTGAATGACGGAGGTCCAGCAGCTGCTGCTTCAGGCTCTCCAGAGCCATTTCAGTTGTCCTAGACTTCTTAATCATCTGTTCTTCGTTCACTTTTAGTGCTTGTATTTGGGTCTCCAGCACTTTTATTTGTGCTTCAAGCTGTATCTCTCTCTCTTTTCCATTCTGAAAGAGTTTCTGTGATTCTCGGAGGCTGAGGGTCAAGCCATCCTTTTCATCTACAACATTAAAAATGTTTATATAAATAATAAGTTACTGTTATAGTAACTTATTTTCACAATTTCTTATCAAATATCAGATCTGTATCATATAAATGTTCAGTGCAATTCAGATAGTAAACTTCAGTTGATTTAGAGAAAACCAGGAAAGTTCCAAAAAAAAGAATGCCTGAGTGGTACCAAAAAACTGAGAAAACCAGAACCACTTCCCTCAAAAATCTTACTGTATACTTTTGAGAACCACAAGATTTCCTAACAATGATTTTAGCATTTGTTTACTTGAGAAGCTACATAGATGTGACAAGTCCCTGCTAATCAAAGAAGGAATCTGAGGACTATTTGCTTTCATTGCATATATGCAATGAACTTTTAAATTCACCTAATCTTAAATTCTTCCCACATACTTTACTGTAACAGTTTACAAGTTCTTCTCTCAAAATAAATTTTATAAACATTACAGAAAGGGACCTTTTCACTATCAATTAAGTTTGAAACAAGCTAGAGTTCAGTCACAAAATTATTCTACAAATGAAAAGTTCACCACTGACCAAAACTACAGAAAGCATGAAGAGTAAGCAATTATAACTTGAAACTGTGTTTCCTCTATGTGCTTCTCCCAGTAATGGCTCTATTTTTCTCCTTGACACGCCCAAAGGAGTTCAGGATCACTAACTCACTTGGATTAAAATCCTACATTAACTTGCAGGCTTAGAAAATGTACTGCAAGCTAAACACAAGTCTCTCTGGGAATTGGAATACTTCAGCCAAGGTAAACTACATAAGGAATCAACAACTTATTAGGACAGAATGCTATCAGCATAGTTAAATAATGTTCACTGATAGAAGAGAAAGAGGGAGAAAATGAGGACCTTGAAATAGAATGTTCTAGTGAGAAGTAATCCAAGGCAAGGTGTCAAAAGTCCTGGGTTTTTGTTTCATTCTGATGGACTCATTATGAGCCCTCTGACCAAGTGCATCCACTCTCTAAGCTTCATATTTAAAATGAGCTGTTAGAAACAAGGTATCTAGCTTTAGTATACCTCATAAATGACAGCACCCAACAGGTGTCATCTTACCTTTGATTATTAGAAGCTGGTGATTCAGATATCTAATTTGATGCTCACTTTCATTTAACTTTTCAACTAAATTGTCTAGTTGTCTCTCTTTTGCTTTGTTAAGAACCTGAAGTTGGATAATCTGCATATTTTCTGCAGAATCTGCATTAAAATTAAAGATAATTTATTAGATAAAAGCATACCCAAATGTAAATTTGTGGATACAACTCATTAGTATCATGAAATCAATTCAATGGATTGTGACTAGCATTTAAAAAAAAAAAATAAGACAGAATATATCAGAGTGCAGCATGAATAATGATTATTTCGTGAAACATTTGTTTTAGTTATACACTTATTTACATAGATCCTCATCACAATGTAAAAAAGGTACTTCTTACTGTGGTCACTGCCAGAAAAGTTTAAGAAGTCACTGGTCTAGAGTATAACCCTGAGTCACTACCATTTTGGCTAAAGAAAAAGCATATACCAATTACAATGGAACAGAGTTCTATGCTCTCATAAAATTGGGGGAAAAAAGTACATCAGCTTCTATAAAGCCATTTTTAAAGAAAATTTCTAGAAATTCTTCTCAAAATATTTTAAACAGGAGAGGGAATTACATCATATTCATGTTCATGCTAGCACATAACTGCTGTATTAATAAATCAGTGAATAAGTTAATAAAGAATTTTGAGGTCTCCTTTCAGAAATGATTAAAGTCATTTTAGGGACCACTTAAAAATGACTGGGGGGAAAAGAGAAAAAGTGATGTGGAGGAGGAGGATAGTGCTTCAACAACAAAATGACAAATACTTTTCTTCATTTTCTTCTAGAACTATGAATGCTTCTACTTGCCAACAAACAAAAAAATCTTCTTTTTTAAAAAGAGATAAGGTTAAGACCAAAAGAAACCCATGAAGACTGAAAACTTTGTTACAAGTCAACTTAGAACAGGACTAGCCCAGGAATGAGCAGTCTACAGGCCACACCTCTCCCCAAAGTCATTTTTTTAACTACTGTGGCTAAGAAGCTGTAATCACTAAATTCAGCACTACGGTGCCATTAGGTTATCTAATTAACTTCCAAATGTCAAATTTAGGCAAACGTGTAACTTAAACAAAAAAATAAATCACTTGATAAAATGCAGACTGCTGAGAGTGACATAAGGTTATCTATGCAGAAAGACCAGAAAATCAAATGTAACTGAACACAGTAGAACTGAGAGAAAAAGTACCAAGATGTTAGGCCACTGACGTGATGCTTACTCAGCCTAAAACCAGTTATGCCACACACGCTGTCCGCCTCATCTCATTCCATAAAACCCTCTGAACAACGAGAGGTGACCCCATATTTGCTGTCGACTCCTGCTGGATAAAGTGAGGCCTGGCCTCCCCTAGAACTACTGTGCGGCACATGTGTATGACGGAAGCAACGCTCTGAAGTTAGGGCATGCAGTCCAGTTTTCTCAGTGTAGCCTGGGAAATCCAGAACAGTCGATGACTTTCCCCCGGCTTCTTCAATGTGAAACAAACAACCAGCTTGCTGTCACACTCTAGAGTCACACTGGCTCTTCAACATGCGCAATAAGTAGAAGCTATTTCACATGCCAGAGAGCATGACGATAAAAGTTAAATGTAGGAATCGCTGATTCAGGTCAGTCAGAGCATAAATTATGGCTTTTGATTTCGGGTGTTTCATCTCCTCCAAACTCTCTAGTAACGCTTTTCTCATTCTCATGTTTATACCTGCACTATGTAAAGGGAATTTTTTTTGGCAAATGCTACATGACAAAACCTGAGATAACTCTAGTTTAAATTCTGAGTATTAAGTACTTTATATCAGAGTTGCCTAATTATTACACTAAAAGTCTAAAAATTAAAAGAAAAACTTAAGATGATAATGGCTGGCTTACTAAATTACATTTCTATGTAGTAATGAAAAATCTAAGATTGAAGAGAAAACTCGATTTCATTTTCCAATTTCCAAATCAGTAAGAAAAACATGTTATCCAAAGAAAAGTCTTAACCAGCTAGAACAACTGAAATATACAGTTGAGAAGAACTTCTATTCATGTTTTATTATGGTAAGTTTCAAATATATAAGGTAGAGAGAAGAGTCCAATGAACCCCATGAACCCATCACCCAGATTCAATAACTACAAACTCATGGTCAGTCTTGCTTTATTTATATCTCCCCCTAACATTACCCCCAACAACATATTATTTAAAATAAATCCAAGACTTCATATCAGTTTATTCATAAATACTTCAGGATCTCTAATAATAATGGAACTTAAAAAAAAAAAAAATCAACCACAATCCCATTATCATACTTTAAGAAAAAAATAATAGAGTATGTCAGTGTTCAAAACTCTCCAATTCTGTTATTAAGAAATAAATATAAACTTGATACATACTTTCATTAGCTCCTAAAAATTGTTGTTGCAGGCTTTCAAATGTGTCACTTCCTGCTATCTCCTGGGCTGGTGAGTCATTATTCTGGGCAGAAGCCTGATAAGGTTTATATGTCACTATATATGGTTCCAAAGCTTGACAACTAGGACCTTGTGATGTAACATATTGCTATCAAAAGATGATAAATGAAATTGACAATCAGGATTTGGCCTTTTCTTTGAAAATGATCTGAATTAGACGCCTCAATTTTGTCAGGAAATTTAATTGTGGTACCATTGCAAACTTTATACATACATCTTTGCTTAAAAATACCACTTACAGTCATTTAACACTGTTAATTAAAAGTCTATAATATGTAATTTTATGTATCTTAATTGTACTTCTGAGCATATAATGGGGCCAATTCCATAAATAACACTCAAGAATTCAAATAAGATCGTATATAAATATTTAAGAATGATTTAGGTGATGCCAACATCTTGGGAACATAAAAATGTACATATTCAATAACAAGAACATGCCTCGTATATAATAAATATTCAATAACACTTGTGGAATAATTAATATTCCATAGAGATAGAAAATGACCACCTTAAAAGGATCGCAAAGTCATCCCGTCATTGGGCGACACAGAATAGCTGTTGGCAAAAAGAGAAAAGCTATTGGCAAAATCAATGTCACTCAAAAAGTCTAAGAGGCAGCCACCTATATCCTAGGGTCTTAGCTCATTAATAAACTCCCGGGGGCGGGGGGGACAAAAAATCTGTTTCTTTCCTTAACATTCATCCTGTCTACTGCTGTATCATCTCAAAACAGATAACAGATTTGAAGTATTCAACCTAAAATTTGTTATAAAGGTGGTGGGCTAGAAAATCAAGGTAACTAAATGGTATCATCTACATAGATTTACCACTTTAAAACTATACCAAGATACCCGAACATAGCTTCTCACTGAAGCATGGTGAAGTGGTAGAAGCCAGAAGCAGCAGTAAATGAGGATGGTTATGTTTGGCAAACTTAACTTTTACCATTTAACTCTTTCTGGAAAGTCTCCTTTAAAATTCTAACTTAAGATCATGATTTCATTAGATTGTAAACAGAAAACAGCATGACTAATTCAGCACGAGCCTGAACAAAAGCACTCTCAGGGATTTTTGTACTTAAAATAAAGCTTACCATTGCACTTACATACATTTTTTAAATATACACATACACATACAAACAAATGGGTGCACACATACACACAAACTCCTGAAAGTCAAGTTCTTATAATACCTGGAAATGATTCCTTTGAGGATCTGAAAATTTAATTACATTGGTTGGTTGACTATTAAATTCCTGCTTCTGACCATTGATATATGGCCTAAAGTTTTCAGGAAGGTGATATAAATCTGTCTGTTCATAATTACTTGGAGGAGTATAACCACTTCCACATTCATCTTCACCTTCTTTGGGATGGCAGCCAGGACGCTGGTCGTCATTTTTACTTTGACTGTCTTCCCAGCCGTTGCCACTTTTCTCTCCAATATATACATCCCGAATCTCATTATAGTCCTAGTAGATAACAAGAGTAAAACAAAGGCACTAAGATCTATTCCCACCCTCGCCAAAGTCATTATCAACTCGATACTTACATTTACACTTTGAGATTTAGGGAGCACTTGATGCTCACGCCAATTCATCTCCAATTGCTCAGAGCGATGTAGTCTTGGGAAAAATCAATACTTTAGATTTAGAGCCCATCACTTATTTGGATACAGATATCACAAAGAACCCCAAGATTTTAACGTCTTCCCTCTCTAACCTTCACCTAAAATTCTAAGAATTAGTCTACAATTTTACAACCATGTCCATTATTGCCTACAGAGAGTCAAAAGAAAGAGCCTTATAGAATTGCAACATATGAGTGCAAGTGATTTTAGGTCCTTACTCTCCCTCTGTGCCATCCTCGCTGCAGTCGGAATAGTGGAGCTCGGGGGAGGACAGGTCATCATCCAGCATATCGTGCGGCAGGTCGGTGAGTAACAGCTGCAACTGAGACAGGAAAGTCAGCATCAATATCACACTGACTGAAACATGAGATGCCAAACCAAAGTTGCCTTGCAACAAGTGACTTCGACTTGAGAAGTCAAAGACGTTCCTAACTTCTCCGTTTAATAAATGTTTGAAATTCCACACAAATTATGTTCAGGGGAATGCATAATATCAGGATTTATACTAGAAGGCTTTTTTTCTACAAATGTCTTAGATTTAAATACACTTAACATTACAATAGAATTTTAAACCTTCTTTATGGAAACACAGCAAGTCATGATAATGGTACAATCACCGTATTATGTTATCATGCGGCAGACTTGGGTCTCAGAGCCCTGTTCTACCAGTAATCAGACCTTGGGGACTTGACAATCACACATCCCCCTGGGAATCTGAGTAGCCAGCTCTCCCTCGCCCAGGTGGTGAGATCAGTAGTACCACCAGCAGCAGCAGGTGGCCCAGAAGCTCTTAAAAGCTGTAATAATGTGATAGAAACCCCTTGGAGAGTGACTAATTAGCAGACTGCCATCTAATTCCAGCAATGAAAAGATACATGATACTCGGCTCTGGTGACACAGTTGAGTAAAAAGGGAGCTTTAAGACTCAGTTTTCGGGGCGCCTGGGTGGCTCAGTCGTTAAGCGTCTGCCTTCGGCTCAGGTCATGATCCCAGGGTCCTGGGATCGAGTCCCGCATCTGGCTCCCTGCTCCGAGGGAGGCCTGCTTCTCCCTCTCCCACTCCCCCTGCTTATGTTCCCTCTCTCTCTCTGTGTCTCTCTCTGTCAAATAAGTAAATAAAATCTTTGAAAAAAAAAAAAAAAAGACTCAGTTTTCTACAAAGCTACAGAGCACTCTCAAAAGCGTAACTCCAAACCTGACATAAAAGCATTTGATTTCACTCCCCAATTTTTTTCTAGATAAATCACATCTTTAAGCATTCTACCTATAAAAACTAGGTAAATTCATTTATTGTTTCAAGATAAACAGTGATTAAGAGATGAATGGTCTAATTTGTTCAATTTCAACATCTGTAAATGTCTTTCTTCAATTCCCAATATATTGTCTTAAAATTTATAGCAATCAGAATATTCAAATATTATATTATTAAACAGAAGAGGGCTGCTTATGACTTCTCTTTAAAAGTAAGCACCAGTTAAATTAACAAGTTGACTGAGTCCTCCACAGTGCATAAATGAACCCCATAAAATTATGCAATGAGGGAATTTTATTTTCTTAAATTTTTTTAAAGATTGTATTTACTTATTTGTCAGAGAGTGAGCGAGCACAAGCAGGGGGAGCGGCAGGCAGAGGGAGAAGCAGGCTCCCTGCTGAGCAGAAGCCCTAATGCAGGACTTGATCCCAGGATCCTGGGATCATAATCTGAGCCAAAGGCAGACGCTTAACCAACTGAGCCACCCAGGCGTCCCACAATAAGTGAAAGATATTAAATACTCTGTAAGACATGGGAAAAAAATGAGATGCTCCTTGATCTACGGCTTAGTCTATGGCAAGTTGTTTTTACCCATTTTAGAAAAAATGAAATGTAGCTATAAAACATATCTGAGTATTACATTTACAATCAAAAACCTCCTGACAGAAAATACATATGTGAAAAGTTAAATGAAAATATTATGGGGGCACATGGGTGGCTCAGTCAGTTAAAGGCCCCACTCTTGATCTGAGCTCAGGTCTTGATCTCAGGGTCATGAGTTCAAGCCCTGTGTTGGGCTCCACACTGGGCATGGAGCCCACTTTAAAAAAAAAAAAAAATTATTATAAGAAAGGTCTGAAAGGAATGCTCCAATTGTTAACTGGGTTTTGAAGAAGTCAAATTTGGGAATGGAAATGGGGTATGTGAAGAGGGGAGGGGGATACTTCCTTGATCCCACATATATTTCTAATATTCACTGTATTATTTTTTTTTTAAAGTTTTCTCAATCCATTGTTCTTTAAAAATGAAACAAGAAAAAATATTCTATTCCAATGAAAAGCATCTCAAAATTTATTTGATATTAATATTAATAACCAAGACCTTGATTTATTGGTCACCTGCTCATGCTGAGTAATTGAAAAACCATTCTGAGAATTAGCCATATCAGAGTTGACCCAAAGATATAAAGAATAAGAAACACAAAAGAACCACTAAAAGTTAAACACATCAACATATTAGTATACTATACGTATGCCTCAAGTGAAAGGTAGCAAAGTGATTTGAGAAAGACACAAAATTCACTAAGTAAAAAACATATATGAGGTCTTTTAAAAGTAGTCCAACCTGCTTTGTCTATAATTATGCATCACTCCTTTAAGGAAAAAGACTACTCCCACATACTACACAGAGAAAAATAACAAAATAAATCTCTCATACTTACATCAAGTAAGGACTCCCGTACAGAAAGAATATTTTCTTCTAAACCTTCAGTGAGATTCAAGTACATAACCTTATAATTAAGGGGAACCTTGACAGGGACATCTGAAAGGTACACTTTTTCCTCTCACCTAGAAAAAGCTATACGATAACTAAGCAGTTCTTGCAGCTTTCTCTGTGACACCACAAAATTAACAAAATTGGCATCCACAGAGGAAAATTAATTTGAGCATAAGCAATAAGTTCATCAAAATGCTTCCAGATCCACAGGTGAACTTATCAACTGGCAAAATCATCCCTATAGTATTTAGTTTCTTATAAAATATTTTACATATATGCTAACAATTTGAAAGCATTTCATTCACCTTCAAAAAATTTCTCCATGAAGTGCTTTGGCATAGCTGGGCCATATTCCTTGGCTCCCATAACTCTCAGGACAGAGGGAAGCTAAATGAAGTGAGTCCTCCTAATAAGGCCATTCAGGAACAAAATCCCACCCCCAAGGCTTCCAGTCCCAGGATCAAAGTGTGCCCTTTTCATATACACTGTCAAATAGTTTTTGCTTTCGGTCATTGAACCTTGTGCCATAAAACACAGAATTATCAGATCAACTTAGCATGTTACCAAGTAGAGATTTTTATAAACTATAAATTTTCCCCATTAAAGATCCACCTAGCTACCAAACAGATTCAAGGGCAAAGAGAACAATTTTTATAAATGATGACATTTAATTCCACTCATTACTTTCCCAAATTCATCAGACTGCTTTTTGGTCGCAAATGCAATCTTTTCAGTGGGATGTTATTGTGTGTCAACTGAGTTTAATAATTAAACAGACACCCCCCTTAGAAAAAAGATCATTTGCCATTGCTAAGGCTTCTACTGAAATGCAATCTAAACCATTCCATAAACTCCTCTACCTTTACTCAAAGAACTTCAGCAGCAAAACACTTTGCAATAACCCACGCAGAACATCCAAAATGCCTATGTTTAGGGGGAATGTAAAACAGAGAACAGTGGGTAAACCTTTTGCTAGGGTTTTTTTTTTTTAATTTTTTTTATTAACATATATTATTTGTTTCAGGGGTACAGATCTGTGATTCATCAGTCTTACACAATTCACAGCTCTCACCATAGCACATCCCCTCCCCAATGTCCATCACCCAGCCACCCCATCCCTCCCACCCCCCACCACTCCAGCAACCCTCA